AAAGCAAACTCAGTGCTTGTGCATTGCTTCCCCAAACACCAACACCCCTCATAGAGATGAAATAATGAGACATAGGGACCATATACCTCTTTTTACTGACAAGTGGCTTATAAATTTCTCCAATACAGCCTGTTCTTTAATCCTTCTCATGAGACATTGTGTCATTTACCTTCTCCCAACTTGCCACTATTCAGTAAATGTTAGCTACTCAGACTCCCACTCCTTTTGAACTACAGTGAAACCTGAGAGAGCCAGAATTCAATGGGACTGCCTTGTTTTTCCAGGGCTCACAAGTTCTTCGCCTTTGACAGGGTACAATCTTACCACCTTTTTCATGCTGTCTGTTGGTTCAAAATAAAAGAAAATCTGTGAAACCTGGAACCTGGGTAAGGAGGAAAACCATCAGAAAAGGAAAACTCCAATATTTTCCACTGAAAGGAGCAATAGAAAAGTGAGAAGAAGGCATGCACCTTGTTAAAGGTGGAAAACTTGGAAGACCCAGAAAAACAAGGCAGTCCCTTGAGCTCCAGCTTGCACAGGTTTCACAGTATTTGAGTTTTCCTTCTCTGACAAGTTTCCGCCCTACCCAGTTTCCAGCTTTCACAGATTTTACTGTATCTCCTTTTTCAAAAGGAAACTGCAGAAGAGTGCATTAGTCTCAAGTGCAGCTACCTGGTTTATAAAGTCAACCACGTAACATTTCATGGACAAATGACAACAGAAGTTTGGTCCATTCTTGCTTGTTTTTGTGGGGTTCTCTTCCAAGTGATGATATGAGGAATAAAGTCCAGCATAAATTTTCGAGCAAAATAAGTGTAATTAGAAATAAAGTTTTAAGTTAGTGTTCTCCTACTCATTGTATATGTGCAAATAAAAATTAGCTGGTTTTGAGTTTTTAAGGATTCAAGACATGGGCTAAGAACTCCCAAAAGCAAGTAAATGTAAGTGAGTTTTAATGACAAAGAAAGAAAAGAGAAACACTATGCTTTGAGATAGAAATATTATAGACACAGTTAAGGTTGTTGCTGTTATGATGTAGTAAAGAATCATAATTTTTTCATTTTTAAGAAAATGCTGAGGGGCATTAAGGGCATGCCCCATGAACTTAAAGTAAAGCCCCCCCCCAAAAAAAAAAAGTAATACACAGAAGCAAAATGATCAATTTTCTTTGAAAAACTTATATCAAGGAAAGGATCGAATCTGCAAGTCATTCAGAGGAAAATATATGTTTCTAAACATATAAAAACAGAATCCCTGCTTTCAAATGATTTATAGGCTAAAAACAAAGTGGCAATAAATATTTTTGGAAAAAAAATATAGGTCATTTGATGTGACAGATGCGTCATTTATAAGGAGGCCCCTTTTTCTCTTAACTAGTAAATTTTCAGATATTGACACTGAAATAAGAATGCATTTGTATTTCAAGATAAAAAGAAACATATAATCTTAAATTATCTGTCCTCTTACCATTTAAAATTGCCCTATTCACCTAAGACATTTGATGGTTAATCAGAGGGGTGGTGGTTCAAACCCACCAGCCACTCCTTGGAAGAAAGATTGGGCAATCCATTTCCTTACAGATACCGTCTCGAAGACCAGAGGAGGGGTCTCTATGAGTTTGATTGATTCTGTGGCAGTGAGTTTGGTTTTGTTTCTCGTTATCTTGTGTAGCAGCCCTTGAATATTGGTCTTCTAGCTGTCTTTCACATTGCCATTTGTCGAAAACATAAAATAGCGATTTCTTAAAAACTACGTGAGGAATTGAAGAACTTTCAGGGTGGAAAGAGGTGAGAACATAGTGGGCTTTAAATTATGTTTTTGTATTTATACCTATGGAGCTTCAACATACCCAGGTTTTTATTGGCTCTACTAACACCAGCTTGTAGGCCTGGAAGTGAGTGGTGTTGCTGTTATGTGCCGTCAAGTCAGATCTGACTCATAGCGACCCCTCTTTGGGTTTCCGAGGCAGTATCACTAGGGAAGTATATTGCCAAACCTTTCTTCAGAGTGGCTGGTGGGTTTGAACTGCCAGCCTTCTGGTTAGCAGTCAAGTGCCTTAGGCACTATGCTACCAGAGCTGGAAGTGGGAGGAGGTGAAAAATTAACAAAAGGAACAAGCTGTGGGAGCACTGATTAGAAGGAAAATCAAGCAAATGGAAGAAATAGAATATCCTGAAGTTAATGCGTAGTAAGTACATGCATTTTTTAAAGCATAACTTAGATTTACATTTTCTTTTTCAACAAGGGGAAAAGAAAAATCAGGTATATTCCATGTTACCAATAGGCAGCAGGGACTGTTCAGCAGGCTTGGTCTAGCCATTGTCCTGGTTTCTTCGAGCTATTTCTACTTCTCTCTGTTGTGCTTAGATTAGTTTACCCATGACTGGAGCTGGCAATATGCACAACTCCAGGGGCCACTATTCACATAACTGTAGTGTGAATGCTGCCCCCAAGGTACACAACACTGAGTTACTCCTGCTAACATGATTCTCAGGCTGCTGTGCTGGTAAAGCTCCCTTTTGGGGCAGAGACTCTAAATTTCACTGATAAAGGCTGTAATGAACTGTGACGAAACAGATAAGAAAACATTTTCCCCCCCAGTGGCCAGTGATGAATGATTATCATTTACTTAATGAGTTATAGGGTCTGATGAGAAGTTTAATTTACTAATCCCTCAGAATCCAGAGGAGTCTTTGGACCTTAACCTTCCCCTCTCCTCTTTTGTCTCATTCTTCTTTGACTTTGCATATTCTCTTCCACTTTCCCCAAACCTTGTGCACACCCCTCCATGTGTACTTTTCATTCTCATCATGTCCCCTTGGTAACATTTCCCCCCCTTTCTTTTTGGTCTCTTTCATCTTTCTTTCTGTTTATAACTTTTCTTTCTCCTTTTTGCTGCCCTCCCCCAACCATTACCAATACAGCTCCTCTTCTTTCTTTCCTGCTCTGTGTCCTTCTATCTTCAGTGCCTTTTTTTTTTTTTTTTTTTTCACCACCAACTATTTACCCTTCCTTTGGCTTGTTTCTTTAATCTGTTTTGTTCATACCCAGTTTCTCCTACTTTTCTAGTTTCTTTCTTCCTATTGTTTCCTTAACTTTTCATGATAGGGAAGTAAAGTACACCTGTTTAGCATTCTTTCTGTAGCATCAAATTTATTTTTCTTCCACGGCTGTGGTCTTTGACAATATTTGGGGTTTCTAAAGTAAACCTCAATATCTATGACACTTAAAGCTAGCATTTTCATTGAACCTTGATCATGTCATAATTTTATAAATGTGTACAATACATATTGGAGAATGTTTTTGTAATATGTATTTCTCCACATGAAACTGCTTGAAGTCTTCATCAATTGTTTTAGAATTCTTAAAACATGCTTAAAACTATATTGATATCCTTCTTATGCATTATCTATTGACTGTGTACCCAAAAGGAAAACCTACTTACTTGGCCTTGTTTCACCCAATTAGCACATGTGCAATAGTCTATCTTTGGGTGGCAGCCCAACCATGATTTTGGAGTTTAAATAATTTTGAAATGGGCTGAGGAAGAAAATTTCCCAAATGATTTGGCATATGCTTCCAAAACATAGAAAATGCAACAGCAAATAAATCAAAAGAAAGAAGCTACAGATTCATATAGATAAGAACAAAAATATTTGAGTTAGGAAACAGAAGTAAAAGAATTTATATGAGATTTTTAAAGAAAAGAAAAGTAGAGCTAGACAGATGCAGTTTATGAGATGGATGATATATAGAAGGTACAATCAACAAAAAAGATATCAGGAGTGACAACAATAAACAAAAAGAGATCAAGTGTGGCAAAATCAAAGTAGAATTACGCTATCAATTACAACCTTCTGAGAATGATCTGATCAACAGTGCATCAAAGAAATAAGTTGTTAAAACTATGAAAGAAAGCTGACTGCATTGTGAATCTGTCAGAATTAAATAGAATGAAGTATGGCACAATTGGCCTTCTAAAATGACTAGATTAAGGAATAAATAAAAAGTTTCTGTCTCAAATCTTTACCAAAAGATCTAAATATATGTCACAGAACCTGTATATGTCAACAGAGTGATTTTTCACCTAATTTTTAATCTGTCAGAAGATTGACAGTATGGAAAATATGTAATTATGCTAAAATAGTAATAGCAATCTGAATTGTCTGAAATGAATTCCCTATTGAAGAAATGGCAAAATAAATTTGAAAATAATTCATTTAAAATAATATTTCCTAAGTGCAAGATTTTTCTACATCCTTAGAAGCAGATGTAAAGACATTTATGGGGGAATGGAAACATAAAATTTAATAACTATTCTCCTAACTACCAGTTGTTAATACATGCATACACACATATGCATGTATGTATGAATATATTTGCATGTATACACATATATAAAATGAATATATAATCTAGAAATTTTGAAAATTTAATGATATAACTCTTATTTTTAGTCTGTTACACTTCCCGCTTCCATAAACATTGATTTATATGATATAATAATATCCATTTTACACATCAGTTTTCATGATGGGAAAGTAAAGTACATCTGTTGATGCATTCTTTCTGTAGTCCCAAATTGATTTTCCTTCCACCTCTTTGAGAATATTTAGAATACGTTTGGGGTTTCTAAAGTAAATTTGTTTATTTCCAGACTGAGATAGACTGGGAAGGATAGGGCCATCCACTTCTGAAAATATTGACCACTGAAAACTTTATGGATAGCAGTGACACACTGTCTGATATGTTACTGAAATCGACTTGATGACACCTCACAACAACAACAACTATGTTTTAAACAGGAGAAAACTATTTCTAAGACATGAGTTAACTTGCTCATGATAGAATATCTAGGAGATAGATAGTAGAGTCAAGATTTCAACTGAGTAAGAGAAACTGCATTAAATAATATGGCACATAATTATATATGGTTTCTGTGATTTTAAAATTTGATGTATTAGAATAACAGAGATACTTTGAATAATACTTCACTTTACCTTACAGTGAAACGTAGAACTCTCTTCTTCATGGGATTCTCCTTTTTCTTTGGATATTTCATTTGAACTCGTTTTATTGATGGTTTCTTCAAAGGAAGAGCATGGGCATCAATGGAGGGAAAGAACAGTTTGGAAAGTGCATTGGCAATTCTCCATCCTATATATTTGGATAAAGCTGCTTCTTCTACATTTGGTGGAACTTTTGTACTATAACTAATGAAAGGATCAGTTGAATCATTTAACTCAGCCTGTTGAAAGAAAAGAAAAATGAATCAGTTGAAATAGAATTCACTGTAAGGAAAAAAAAAATAACTTGATATTCAATAAAAGTAAAATTTGTATGTTCAGTTATTCTCTCTTACTAATATTTCATTTTTCCAGTTAAATAAAGTGGATTCTTTTAAGAAAAAATTCAGTCTCACAAAAGTCTAAAAAATCAAAAGTATAATGCAAGAAAAAAAAATAAGCATTAAAAAATCTATCTTAACATTTTGAGATTTTAAGGTTTAAGTTCTGTTTTCAATTTCTTAAGCATTTATGGAATTTATATAACTCAAAATTAAGCAATCAGTTGATTGTTCTATTGACTCAGATTTTCATTTCTCTAAACTTTCCTTGAAGTCAGCAGATTATTTCTATGGAACATTTTTGTTAAGTTGAAACAAACAAATAGAATCTTATATTTAGATTAAATTGAAGATTTTCTAGGATTTAGGTTTAGATTAAATTGAGTAGATCCTAATACTAAAAAGAAAACTAACAAAAAAATCTGCAATTTTAAGCAATCTATTTTAAAAAGGTATATTTATGTTTGATAATGTCTATGATTTTTAATTTTCTTCTTTTGAAATGGCTAGAGGCATTTTTTCTTTGGCTGGACGTTGTAATAATAAATTAAGCTTTGAGTTTCAAAATGTAATGTCATAATTTTTTGCTGTTGTTCATAATATGTTCAAATTAAGGAAAATTCTTTTTATAAATAAATTATTATACTTCCTTTCATTTAAGTTTTTGCATTTTTTTTTGAAAATTATCAGTCTTCATGCAGCTCATTACCAAGCACGCAAGATTCATTTTGTATACCTATCAGTCCTATGGTAAAAAATAAAGGAAAGAAAAATGCCTTTCTGGATATGAATGTCATGCTAATCTGTTTAGGATTCCAAGATCAGGGTGGCTTAATGAAATTACTGCTTAAAGATTGATGATTACATTATCTAGATGAAATTACATTGGAAAAATTAGAACATTTATATAAAGATTGAAAAAAAAAAAGGTTGAAACAATGAGGAAAATTGTTAAGGTAGGTAAGTAAATATGGATTACTGTCCATGCCACACAGGGAGTGGAAAAGAATAACATGCAGGAAAACATAAAAAAGATAATGTGAAAATCATACAAACAGGTAATCACACAGAAAACCTGAAATCTTGAGCCAAAATAATTTCATGATGAAAAAATCAACACTAAAATTGAGGAAAAGGAGAACCTAATATACACTTTTTCTATTTCAGAAAAGCAAGCACTTAATCACTAGCTTTAATTGAAATATATTCATTCCTAAAGTATCTTTGAATTATCTCTGGATATCGGAATCAGTGTACATCAATATTTATATTGTTCTCCATTGAATATCTTGTTTATTAACTACGTAGAAATCATGTAATGAGGATTAAGTTTGTAACAACAACAACAAAACATTGTTTCTCTGGGGGTTGTGACTTTGAAATCATCACTTAACATTTGAAATCCCACAGCTTAATCTATAAAAAATGGTAACCAAAATATCTGTATTGTTTATTCTACTTACCTCCTCTGGTGGTAACAAAAAGATAGTTCAAAATCATAACAACATATAGTCTTGCACACATGGAAGCAATTTCTATGACTTTTTCAATTATTAAAATACTGATGAGTGAATAAATAAATTTGTAACTGGATGAACTAACACAAATAACTGTTCTCGGCATACAATTTTGGTTAAATGCATCATTCCTAGAGATAGCATTCCTCTGCATTACATAATCCTGATGCTCTTTTCAACATGCCTTCTTTGGCTATTCTCAGCACTCAAACCAAACCAAACTCACTGCCTTCGAGTCAGATCAGACTCTTAGCAACACCTCTCTGGCTTTCCGAGGCAGTCTCTTATGACAGATGTAGATACCAGCTCTCAGTTATGAAAGGGGAGACACTTACACATCTTTCAAGATGGGTCCCTTGCTAAAACTCTCCCTCCCTTACTGATGTTTAAGATACTTGAGTTATGGAAATGCCTCAAGGCCAGATTTGTCTTCTCTATAAAAGGATTTGTTTGTTTGCTTGCTTGCTTACTTGTGTCCCTGAAAGAGGTAGCTAGGAACGAATATGAACTTTGCACTTTGAAAGATCTGAAATCAGGTCTGGCTCTTCCACTTGCTAATTAAGAATGCAAGTTCGGGTAATTTAGTTATCCTCTCCAGATCTATGTTTTCTCTTTAGCTTTGTTCTATGGGGGTAAAAATAACTACCTTCCAGATTATGTAAGGGAAAATTTAATGATTCTGAATCGTGACCTCCATTGGGTTTGCAAGGCAGTAAATCTTTAAGGAAGTAGATTGTTTCATCTTCCTTCTGCAGAGCAGCTGGTGAGTTTGAACCACCAACCATTTGTTGAGCAGTCAAATGCCTTAGACACTGTACCCCCAGAGCTCCTTAATTTAAACCCCTTAGGATGATCTGTCTGGCCGATAATGAGAAGCTCAACAGATACCTGTTCCTTTCAGGTTTTCCCTAAGAGAGTACAAGTGTTTTAGTCTTCCAAGCACTTCCCACCGCCAACCTAGAGATGCGATTCAACCTCTGCCATGCTGAGAACAATTTTCTTAAATTGCTCCTTTTTATTAGCACATTTATCACATAGGATCAAGGTTATACTTTTATAGTCATTACTTCTTAAGAGTTTTCCTTCTTCTTTTAAAGCCACTGTTACAGTATGTCAGAATTCAGAACCTTAAGAGCCAAAAATACATAAATATATGTCTATACTTCTTAGAAGTGGACCTAAACAAAATATTAATGACTACTTCTTTAAAATATATTATAAATTAATTATTTTGCTACTATTTGACCTGCCAATGTATATTACCTTAGATTCTATCTTTAACCATTATTTATACTTTTAAATTTTTATCATTTGTCTCTGTTTCCTAGCACGGCCTATGTAGACTATAAAATCTAGGGTTTTCTTTGTTATTGGTGTTATTGAAATTTGATATTTATTTAAATCAAAAACAAAAATGACAATTTTTTAATATATATATATTAATTTTACTGATTATATTAAAAACAGAAAAGTGTTATTCTTGGAGAAATTCCTCTCTTACACATATCCTAACAAATTACCAGAACATATGCCCATCCCTTAGTCTTAAGATTGGATTTAAATATAGGAAAAGTCATCGTAGGTATAAGTTGGCAGGAAGAAGACAGATAAATTAGCACAAGAGAAAATTCTGCAAGGAATTAGAATGCTGTAATAATTGTCAATGAGTAAGAACACATACTCAGCTCAAATAAAAGCAGAGATTTATTGAAAGGGCAAAGCAATTGGAACTGGGGACACATTTGATCCCACCAAAATGAAATCAAACATTCAAAAAATGACAGAGTAATAGAGACGTATTTATGAGGTAAAATCAAGGACTAAAAGTATAACATTCTGATTGGAAGATCAGAGAAGGCAGAGATAGAAAGCAAGAGTTTTATATAGTGATTGGTTAGAACTCGCACACATACCTTCCTTTTGACCAAGGATTTAATTAAAATATTTTGATCATTGTCTGTATGCTTTCTTCTGCAGAGGCTTGTGTTGATGATGCATGATTCCTTAGATGACTCCTTACTTAGATAAGTGTTTAAGACCCCTGCTGACATTACAGTTTAATAGGCATCATATGACTTCTTCATCCTGCTGTAGCTTAGCATTCAGCTTCTATGATCTTAGATGGGGGTGTGGATTACTTAGATGGGAGCCACATTAGAGAAACAGTTTGTCTGTTCAAAAGACTAGTGCAGGGTCCATCTGAGAAATGGATCTCATCTATAAGCATAATTTTCTTCATAGGCAATAAATTGGTCTTTTGAGACTTAAAATTGGTCATACATTGCATGTAACTTTTGATTTTTCTAATAATTGTTACCACAACAGTCACCTTTATTAATGCATTAGGCAATACAAATCTACCCAAGTATCCAATGCTTTGGAGCTCTGGTAGCATAGTGCCTAAGGCACTTGACTGCTCACCAGAAGGCTGGCGGTTCAAACCCACCAGCCACTCCTCGGAAGGAAGGTTGGGCAATCCTACTTCCGTAGTGATACTGCCTCGGAAACCCAAGGAGGGGTCGCTATGGGTCGGGGCCGACTCGACGGCAAACAACAACAACAACAACAAGTAGAAATAATACATAAAAAATGGAATAATCTTAGGGGATATTGAATGGAACTAAGTAGCCTTCTCCACCACTCCTCTGTCAGTTTGGTGTACTCTGGTGGTTTGTGTTGGTGTGATGCTGGAAGCTATGCCACTGATATTTCAAATACTGGCAGAGTCAGCCATGACAGACAGGTTTCAGTGGGGCTTCAGGCTGAGAAAGGTTAGGAAGGAGGATGTGGCAGTTTCACTACTGAAAAACTTGGCCAATGAAAATCTAATAAATAGAAGTAAACATTGTTTTACATATAGTGTTGGAAGATGAGCACCTCAGGTTGGAAGGCACTAAAAATATGACTGGGGAAATCAGCCTCCTCAGAGCAGTTATTGTAGTTATTGTTAGGTGCCATCAAATCAGCTCCAATTCATAGCAACAGATGGAAACACTGCCTGGTCCTGTGCCAGTCTCATAATCCTTGCTATACCTGAGCCCATGTTGCAGCCACTGTGTCAATGCAGTGAAGTAAATTACTTAGTATGGCTTTTCTACCCATAAGTCACTGTAAACTCAGTGGTGGAATGAGCAACTGAGGAGCTCCTGATTGTAAATGTTATCCACCTGGGTTATTTCTGTTGAGCATGGCACAATGCAATGTTATGGGCAGCTCACTCTTAGGTGCTTAGAATTCTGTTGTTATGATTGGTTGGTTTGGCCACTCTGCCAAGCTCAAAAGGAGGCCTCCTAGAGGCAGAACTCTCTGTGACTGCTGGTTGAGGAAGACGTGCTGCTGAAAGAGACACACGCTACTGAAAGAGACACGTGCTGCTGGGAAAGA